TATCATTTTAGAATATAAACAAAAAAAAACAAAAATCCTACTAGAGAACACTGATAATATTCCTATCTTTAAATTTGATTATACATCGTACTACATTTGCGATTTGCAAGGGCGCCCATCAATCAAAACCTAGGGGGGTGACAATATCATACAAAAATAAGTAATAACTAGGTAAGAACTAACCAAATTGATTTTATTTAATAACAGAAAATCAATACACAATATAGATAAACGATGTATCTACCTATATATTATAATACCTATGGCATGTATTATAATATCATCAGTAAAAATAGTTTATTATTTACAATAACAAAAAATTACAATAATTTCACATTTGTCTAGGGGGGTGACATGTCACCTCCTTGCACCTCTTTGTAGACGGATACAATGTGTCAGTGGCGTAGACAAGTGGTGGCTAAGAGGGCTAGAGCCCCCCATGACCGTGTTGACCTTAGAATTTTATCAAGATTAATAAAAAAATAAAAGTGTAAGTAAAAGACGTATTGTATTTACATACTTAGCCCCCCCCATACAAATTCCTGGCTACGCCACTGCAATGTATATTCTACTGCATGGACCATTTCATATCTTCTTAAGACACACAATAATTTGCGTGTAATATGAGTAGGTATTTTTATTTTAATATATTATATATACGCATTATTGCGTGTTTGGACGTGTGATCGATATTATGTATAAGTACAAAACGGATGATTTTTCCTAATAATTGTTATGATATAGGGAGCCCGGGAATCAGGCCAAAAGGGAGTATGGTAACTGGGTCACTAAAAATTTACATTTATAAAACGTACCCACACCAGGTAACCGGGTCACTATTTTATATGTTTATGAACTTTCTTGATAAGAGCGTACTGCGTTAGGAATAATGTCATTATGCATTATGTAAGTACCATAATCATTATTAAAAAAATTTTTTTTAAAATATCCGCGTCGTGTATGCCTTTATCTAGACGATGTTGGTAACTGCCCTTAGTTATTTTCCATAAAACGGTAAGTGTTTCGATATACTTTGTCGATTTTATTTTTGACAATTATATTTCAATAGGTACCTATATTTGTGACGATGCGAGTTTTCCCACACACGAGTCATAATATAGGCTATAGCCTATGTAGCCCATAATATAATTCGTTTTGGAACGATAACATGATAACAATATAAATTATAATGTTATCAAATCTTTGCATTCACATTTTAAAAACATATTCTATATTCCAAATCCAAATATTCAAAACTTTTTAAAATGTTTTATTGTACTTAGTACAATAAAATAGATTTTACATTCAAATTAGAAACATAGGTACTTACACAGAAGACCAGGAAACAGACTTTAGTCAGAGACGACTATGTTTGAAACAAAATACAGAAATACGGAAAAGGAAAAAACATGTTCGATTTGTACAATGTGTAGGTGGTTACTCGTTAGTCGTTAGTCTTTAGTTTAGAATTATAGTTTTTCCTTACTAATATATTTTATTATTTCAATTATTATTAATTATAAAATAACTATATAATATAATTGTTTATGTTTTTTTATTTTATTTAATAATATCGTGGCTTTGGACTTAGGTGAATAAATAAATATAATATTATATAGTTAGGTAATGGAAAACGATACGCGTTCGATATCATGTTATTATTATTATTAAAAGTAAAAACTGTTTATTTTAGTTCCAACGCACCTGAAGCAGCAAAGTAAGTAGTTGTAAGAGTTTTTTTTTTGGCAGAATATCAGTAAAAGCAGTAGATGTCGTGAAATAATAGAAGATCTGAACGCTAAACTATTTTAAGGATCTAAAGAAAAAACATAGCTACTTGCGAGTACCAATTTTTAAAAGTAAACTAATTACATATACCTACCTATATTACTATATAATATACTATGTTCAAGAATATTTTCTCAAATGTTTGTTAGTACTGACTACTTATGGAAAAAACATATTAGTTTGACGAAAAAATATATATTTGTAAAATAAGAAAAATGGTAATCATCAACACGATTCAGATGAAATACCTGGTATTACCAGGTATTATTTGTATTTATGATGTTACTTCAGATACAAAATAACAAAACTTTCGATAATCGGTTTTCGATGGTGTACCACCCGAGATTCGAGACTTGGATTTGTTCCCAGTTTATTTTAAACAGAACATTCAAATGTTGATTTAGACATAATAGTGGCTTATCGTTTTACACCAGCCTAGTTCGGATCCGCTGTAAGTGTACAAAGTCCTGAATACAGTTTAAGAGTAGACAAAGACAATCGTCTCAAACTGTCGATCAGATTATTCTTGAATATTTTTTTTGGTATAAAAGTAAAAAATATTATATTTTACACAAGTCCTCAGAGTAAAATTTTTAATTTATGATATATTATATATGTGTTTTATTTATTTATATTATATCTTTGATCTTCCATAAATTTACCATAATATTTGGAGGGAAGTATATTTTAAATTACAACGGAGCTATAAATGGGTGTGAGACAATAATAACAATAAAATATGGAAGACAGCACATTCTAATATTATTGTATTTGTTGAAGCAATGGAGCAATGCAATTTAGTAATGCAACTGCAACAATACAAATTATTCAAAATAAAACAATAAATATATTCCAGCATTCCACATTTTTTAGCAAAATTACATTTATATATAGGTATCATAATATTATAATCCAGTAGGTATATTTAATATTTATGTAGACATTTTGTATAAATATAACCCCACTACCCGCTCCTAACAATAGACATTTTAACATTTAAATAGATATATCTATAACTATAGTTTTAAAAACCGATAGCCACATAATTGTGACTTGTGAGCGATATATTTGTAAGGTAACAAAGCTTAATTTTTTATTAATTTTAATTTAAATGTTATAACTTATCATAAATCATATAATAGATTATTAATTATTATATTAACAACAACAAGTGTATATTTTTTTCAGATTGTGTGAAATATCTGGAAACGCGTGGGGGCTAAATTTCCAGTTGGGTTAAATTTTCGATTATCAATCGGTCGATAAAATGAATAAAACAATCTTGGAGAGAAAAAAATTTAATTAGGTTAAATTTGCAGTTATTCGAGTTTGTGCACCTTGCACGGTCGAACGACTGCAGCAGAACTCAATAAATATATGATAATGTTATTAAAATATGATTTATGATTGGGGCACATATTAATATTATATGTTCCATTCGAGGCGAAAGAGTGTGCCTATATAATATACAAACATGCGTGCAATCGTGCGTACAATATTAGGTATAGTCATAAAATATTATTAACAAATCACAGCGGGAATTACTATAATAATTTACAAGTAAATTTTAATTAAGCGTGTGTATCTACATATATTATGTACAATGCACGCGTTTAAATATTATATTCGGTGAGAACTGTCAGAACCGATAATTATCGGATATAGGTTTTAATTTGTACACGTAGTAATAATCGATTCGGAAACATAATGCTTCAGGTAGGTAGGTAATATATTATCCGACAACTCTGCGCGTGTATTATCACGACTCGCAGAGGACTGCAACAGGTGCTTAACTGCACCCCGAGTCCCGTCTAGATGATATTACTTTACACAGTAGGTATTATTGCGTTATATATTTTATAATATATTTTATAAATCGAAAAAAGGATATGCCTGTATAAAATATATTACTACAATATGTGTATACTTTCTTTTTTATACGTATAGCTATACTGCAGTATCGTGTTGGACGAAACGAGTTATGTATTTAATCCCAAAGAATTGCATTTTTTATTTCACGCGTTGCACAACTTAAAATTATATATACGATACTATTCCTTAAGAAATCCTCTTTTTACAAAATCGTTTGTCTTATTCTGTTTAAATCAAAAATGAATAGCCATATAGCCACATAGACATTTGAATATTTTTCATCAAATATTTAATAGGTATTTCCTAGGAATTGATTTTATTTCAAATTACTATTTAGATGTTTAAAAATTATTTTTTATTTATAATTCAAAAAATATTTACAGTATAAACTTACAACATTCCACAATTCCAAATTATACAATAATACCTACATAATAATATTATACATATCTATATTAATATGAATTTATCATCAATATAGCCCCATGTATAAACTAGCTCACCTCAGATTCAATAGTCCCAATAATGATGAACACTTTTGCTGATGAGTGATGTCCTATTCATTTCTTTATATTGTTATCTATGAATAGGTATAATAATAAATATTAAATATTATATATAAATTGCTCTTCCGTACTTGAGTGGCAATGGATGTATCACCATTCTTTCCAGCGTCCCATTTGGAAACGAGCCTAGTTTTTTTTATACATTAAAAAATGACAAAAAAAAAATTCTGAATTCGAGGCGTGAAGAAAACCATTTATATATAATGAGTTATGTCAGACAATTTTAAACGCCCCCTTCTCTTCTTTCAGGGTATATTCGCTTCATAATTTCCGTTGCATACTTACGCATATTTATCATTATTATTATTGTATTTGTTTTGCAAAGTACCTACTTTATTTTGAACTTTTGCCCAAAAATCGACCCATGGCCGGGGGTCGTAGTGGGGATATAGAGTTGGGCGTCTAAATTTGTCAGATATTACTACAGCTGCTCGTCGCACCGGTGAGGATCGGTAACGTCCCAATAAAAGCCAAAAGGCGTTTTAGTATTATTATAAGATAGAAGGCCGCGTGTCGGCGACGCGCGAATGCGCCTCATCGTCGTCGTCGTTATTACGATAGTAATCGCAGTACAATAATAATTAATGTTCAATACTATACACATAATATAATATATTAAATACTATATAAATATTAAGTTATGTGACACACCATATCTTAACGTAATAATCGTGTAAAAATAACAAACTGTTAATAGCTGTAATTATATAATTATTATCATTATAATCGCATAACATAATATACCTAATATATTGTACCGCGCGTGTGATCATCATGGATCAAGACGAACAGTGTCTGGCGCCGCAGCTGTGCATCCGTTGCCTGTCGTCGTACGACCGTGGCCGACAAGTCGCAGTCGTATCCAACTCGGGCGCGTGCACGTGCCCCGACGACGAGACGTGTCCGCACAACAAGAAGACCGCCGCGCTGCACCTGTTGGTCCTCAGGAAAAAAAAGTTTGTTCCACTTGTCTCAATATAATATTATTATAGTGTAATCGTTTTGACAAACGTTTTTTTTTTTAGTATTTATATTTAATTTGATTTGATTTACTATTACTGCGGGGTAGTCTTATTGAGAAAAACTCGTATCTAGCCGAGAAGGTCTTTATTTTTTTGTACACTAAAAAATTTACAATAATACCGAACGATTTAAATTTAAATGTTATGTAAAATATTATAGAAGAACTTTCAGCCTTCGGGTAATTATATACCTACCAACTATTTCTGAATATTAATATTTTCAGCATAAATGTCCTATAAAACATTATAATTTTAAGAACATCTCAATTAGGTAGGTACCTGGCGATGTTACAAAATATGTATTGGTAACTTTTAAAAAATGAAGCAAACGAACCCGACTAATATATGCAACTAATAACGAACAACCTATATGAGTGTTAACTGCTAGCTATATACACAAATAAATAAGTACATAATTTTTTTCGACGATACAAACAGGACGAATACCTAATCATTACGCGTAAATCCAAAACATAAATAATCATCAGCATATTTACGTATAACATTTAAACTTAAACTCTTATCACTGGATGCTTACACAAGCTACAAGCTTACACAAGACAAGAATTACAACTTTTACAAGGCACACTCGAAGAATTTCAAGGCACACTGTTGTGCCGTGGCACAGTGGTTGGGAATCCCTGGTTTATATACACAATATCAACATAAGACGTGCATTAATGCATTATGAAAATAAAGTTTTTAAGTAAAAAAAAGTTGATAAACCATATTACCATAATATTAACGCTAAATTGTTAAAATTCTATAATTAATGGTATTCTATATTCAAAAGGTTAAATGGTTTTTATGTTATTTTATAAAAAATGGATTTTGAGTGAATTGTTTATATTATGAATAAAAAGTTGTATATAAACAATAAAAATTCGTCTGAAATTAAGTCAAATTAATGCCACTGGCTTGTTCAGCATACTTTGTAAATCAAACTTGATATACCTACTCTTGACCAGTGGCAAATGATGTGAAGCTCTAACAGGGATTAGGGATGACGGAGAGAATAATATTATTTTATAATTTAATTTGATGGTGATTAAAAAATGACCACCGCCCATCACCCACCCATCAAATACACCATATATATTATTATATCTGTGCATACAATTCATTTGGTAATTGTTTTTCATCAATTTTTTTTAACCATTGTGGGTTTTAAAACCCATATCACTGCAGGATAAGTCTGCAGCATCAGCAGACGTCATCGACGACGAACAACGAATCAAACAAGACCATTGGCTGTGGTGTAGAGGAATCGGACGACGACGATGACGACGACTGCTCCTCTTCGTCGTCGTCGTCGTCGTCGTCGTCATCGAGTAGCACTTCGTCCTGCACCTCGTCCTGCAGCAGTGGCGACACTACTACGTCAGAATCCGAAGACGATGGGTCGCGGATTACCTACTCTTCTGCGAGTCCGTCGCAATAACACAGATTTGTTGTAATAGTTAAGTTTCGTTTTGAAAAAGTCATTTAATTTTTTATCGTAATCACAAGTACAAAACGTCATATAGTATAAAAACATATTATATGCATATAGTAAACGGTTGTGTGAACATACCACACATTATGCATACATCACATTGTAAAGGTGGAATTGGCAAGTTTAAAGTTTATTTCTTCTTTCCAGATTTGCTTTTCTTCTTGCTGTTGTTGCTGCTGCTACTGCTACCGCTGCTGCTGCTGCTGCTGCTGCTGCTACTGTCGCTATCGTCGCTGCTGCTGCTGTTGCTGTTGCTACTGCTGCTGTTGCTGCTGCTGCCACTGCTGTCGCTGCTGGAAGAACCGTCACTGTCGCTTTCTGAGTCTGAAGAGTTTACATTTTTCTTTTTCCGTTTCGCGTCTTTCATTTTTTTCTTCGATTTCTCCTCTTTCGCAGGCCTAAAAAGATGTCGTTATTCGGTTAGACAACATATTATATACATATAGAGCGGTTTTGTAGCCAAGGGGACTGCTGAGGGGGCTGCAGCCCTCTCAGAAATCTTAGGAAATTTTAAAAATATCCACATTGTTCTGTAAACGTATTAAATAAGACGTAATCATGTATTAAAATTGTTATGTGTACAAATATTAAAAGTCTGAAATGTTATATACAATATACCTATATTCATCATGGCATATATAAGCATAACAAACTTATGAGGGATCCTAGAGGTAAGTAAGTTACGTAATTAATTATCATCCCTCTCCAAGGCAAAATCCTGACTACGCCACTGATAAATCGATAGTTAGGTATTCATTCGGAAATAATAGTTAAAAAATCAAAAACAACCACGATATTTGATTACGAACAAAATCACGAACGGTTTATTCAATAAAATATATATATATATATATATCTACGAACCATATAATCGAATACTATATTATACATAATTATATAATTGTTTATTAATAATTTAATTTTGCCACGTACTTGGATAAGATCATACTTGCGGGCCTGTCCTTGTTCAAATTCCTCTTGAGCAACGTCGTGCGAGTCGGACGGTCAGCAAATTTTCTCTTTCCTTTACACTCGAAAGTCCAATGACCGAATTCCAGGCACTTTTGACAGCGGACACCTTGTGGAGGTACATACAATCTACATGTATGCGAAAATAAATTTGATTAATATTTACGTATAACTAGTGTTAGTAGTTGTAGACAATATAATATAGGTACACTATATTGGTAGGTATGCTTACGGTTTTTTTTTCGGTATATGAAGTGGTGCCATTGCCCTGTAGGGATCTGGTATTTAATCTATAAACGTGGTTAAGCTAGATGAATCTGCAAACAAACAAATAATTATATTCTATAATTTTATTATATAAATTGAACACAACATAATTGGGTATACCTATAACGTATTTAATATTATATTAATATATTATATACAATAAGTGAGATCATTCATTTTCGAAATAACAATTATGGTACCTACGATTATACGTTATAAAAATAGATACCTAAGCTGTACCTACATTACGTGTTACGCACATCGTCATAAATACAGTCCAATTTTAAACGGTTAAATTGTTCGCAAGTACGATAGGTGTGAAGATGAGTATTCACTTCGGTAGTTTTTTACAGCATATCATCGGAATGTTTTTTTTTATATAAATGTTAATAAACTAGCAGCAAACAACAATGATAATATATATTATACTATTATTGAGTTAGTACCAATGACACGAAACAAAACAAACTAAAAAACTAAAACTAAACTAAAAAAATTCCAAATAGGGGGATGGGGGCAACTACCGCTCCTTGACCCCCTTAATTAATAGAGCTATACGCCTAAAATTATCGTTGGTTTTCGAAATTTGCTGTACATTTCATCCTTTCTTGAGAATATAATAAATTGAGTAACTGCAATATATTATGAATTGCATTGTTAACAATAAATTGTTAATAATTTATGTCCGAGTACCTAGGCATTATAATATACAGGGTGTCTCACGAGGATTCGTCCATTGCCATATCTCCCGAGATAAATATACCATAAACCGGTTTTTTTTTATTAGACTCACAGAGACAAGGACTACACATATTTAATTTTGTTTTTTGATAAAAAGTTTAAAAATTATTTTTTATTTTTGAAACATTTGAAGATAGTCATTTTATAGAGTTTATTTTTGTGAAAATTTTGACTTTTCGACATTTTATTTTAATTAATCTCATGATTTTTAATAATTTGTTTAGTTTATAAGTAAAACGGCAAAATAGCGGTTTTTGTCAGAGCCATGAGTCCCCTTCTACGGCTAATTGGTACACCCTCACGGGAGCTAACCCTAACCGTCATGGGACACCCTGTATAGGTACATCCAGTTAATGTGAATATTATCTATCCGAATGGTTACGAACGCGTATAACGATAACAGCCGCGGTCCTTCACACGGAATCCTGCAGTATAACAATAATTATTATTGTGATAATATTATATAGTAAATTCCGGGCATTTCGTTGACCGCAAAATTCTTCGTGGAAACTACTAAACGTTTTCATCACATACCTACGTCATAGTACGTGCACCGTCATATCAACATTGCGAATAATCATATTCTGACCCGACTCCGCGGGGTCAGACGACAATAATAATATTATACGATTTATAAATAATTTAGGTGCACAAAAAAAAAAAAACTGTATATAAAATCAACATGTTAATATATTATAATTTAATTTAATTTATATATTATTGTATATTTCAGTGAATTTACACACATTAATACATTATAATATTATTATGACGTCTGGAGTGGATACGATATTTTTTTGTTTCTAGTTTAATCATCGATCTATATTGTAGAATATATAGTACATCTATATGACTAACGAATCTATAATAGGTATATTGACCGACGAATCACAGATGAAAACTATAAGTTATAACGTTTATGCCTGAAGGCTGAAGCTCTAGTCAACATACACAGCATGCACATAATGTATAAATTATATTATAAAAAAAAAATCATATTGCATACGAGTCTGCAATGAAATACCACATTTTATGTCTTTGTTGTCCTTGCTATCATATGTAGCACATACCTAGGTAATATTGTAATATTATAATATTAATGCAGTTGCACCTAACTATCGTGTGATAAGCGTGTAAATCGTGTTCGAATCTCCGATGAAAAAATGATATTTTTCATTTTTTTTTTTCGTAACGTAACGTTTTTCGATTTCTAATACACTGATTTCAGGGCAACCAATAATTATTATTATAATAGTTTTAAGACCCATGGCTACCATAAAATGTCAATAACGTAACGTTTTTCGATTCTATGTGCCAAAGAAAAGACATAAAATGTCAATATGTAATATATTTATGTGTGTCCCAAAATCTATAGGAACCTATAGTTAAAACAATTCCAATTTCAAACTATCAAAAATTCAAAACACTTTTCTTCTTGAAATAACCTTTGTTGTGTGTAGCAACATATATTTAGGTCAATGAAACAAATAAGTTTAGACAACAAAATATAAAATTAATTTAAGGCAACCGAAAGGAGGGATTCAGACAGTGTCTCCGAAATCGTGGTACGAGTGTGTACTACGTTAGGAAGATCAATTATTATGTTTAATTTTTACTTTAAAATAAAGTTTATTTTCATTATAATTACTATGTTGTTAAATAATATATCAATCAGCGTATAAGACATGCTTTCTTGAAACTTTCAGAATAGCCATTTTAAAAATTTAATAATTTACCATTATATTACAGATTGTACAATTGTCTAGTTTAAAAAAAAAAAAAATTTTAAATTAAGAAAACATTGACCAGGTTACAGCTGGTTATAAGTTTCCAGTTTCCTTGAAATTAGGTAATGATCTATATTAGCATATAATAAAGCAAAATAAAAAAAAAACCGATAGCTTTCAACTAAATCAAACTTTATTCTAATGCAGTTTTTTTCATAAAATAACTTACATAATATCTACCTATCTATTTGCTCTTTGTTCATAAACTTTAGAATACGATTTAAAATGCATTCGATTTTCAAAAAAACAGTAGTTTACTAATCACAATTTTATATTAATTGCAATTAAAATTATAATTTCCAAAATTATTTCATAAGCTGTAGGTAACCTACCTACCTAACATTTATAATAATATGATCGTGAAGAAAAATATTTCAACTGGCCATTGCTCTTATATTATGTATTTTTAATAAACGTATTATTGTTAATGAATAGATTATTAAGGATTATATCAGGATGATTTTTTAACTTAAGACACTTAATATTTCGAAAACTTCATATTTTATTACTATCATTAATAGGTAAGGGTTTTAACTTTTTTAAACAACAGCATACATTTTTAATATAATTTTTTGAAGATATTTTTTGGAATACTTTGACTTACAAAAATCGTATAGTAGATTGGTTATAAGTTATAACTTTTTAGTAGGTATTAAAGTTTAGATGAGCGGTGAACCAACATGTTGCAGTATCTATATCACCCTACGTCACTCCTCAGACACTATATAATTCATTAAATTTAGCTATTGAGTTTCAGCAGAAATATGAAATATTGAGTTTAAAAAAAACGGAACTGAATTTTAACTAATAGTTAGGTAGGTTATTTTTTTTTTCTATTTAAATTTAACTTAAATTCATAATTACATATTACAGAAATTTGAATTGTGACCATTTATCTGGTTTTTTTGTCTTAAATTGCACAACAAACTAGTCAAAATAAACATATATTAATAGGTACATTAATAATTGTTTAAGTAAAAAATAAGAGTAACTGATTTACAACTTTAAACTAGACTTACATTTTTCTATATTAACGAGTTATTAACTAGTTTACCTGCCCAGTATCGCATGTAGGTGAAATCCATCGAAAATACGGACGCCACTCGTACGATTTTATAGCTTACTAAAATTAATATTTTTTCATCTTACGTCAATTCTATCGCCACAAACCTAAACGGCTATATACTTATAAAGCTATAAGTTATAACGGTTAACAGGTATATAATACTGAACTACATAGCTGTACTCATGCGTTCAAATAGGTACCAGAAAACAGACTTTTATGTTTTTTCAAATATGTTTACTTAATATGGTCCTGACAATGCATACCTAATATACAGAGTGATTCTCTCATTCACCATTCACCGAACATGGTCCACCATTTTTTCATTATGTTTTTGTACTACCATAGAAGTGTCATCGTGTATCGGCGATACAATCTTCTGTTTTTCAAACGATGACCCACCTTTTTACTGTTGTAAATTATTTAGTTGATAATTTTTTTTTTTTAAATGTTGATGTAGGTAATTTCTCGGTTATCAAAATATTTATACTAAGGATAATAGTCATTAAAAATAAAAACATTTGCAATATAATTAGATTTATTATTTATTATACTTGGACACTTATTGTTACAAACTATAAACATTAATATAGGTACCTAGTTAAATATTAATTACTAACATTTTAAAATTCCCATCTACATATCTTCCAATCTCATTATCATGGACCTATTATCGTTAGTACACGTAGTGAGATGAGTTAAAAACTAAACGATCGAATTTTGATGTTGGTGCGTCCAAATTTTCAGAAAAATGATCCACTTAATAATTGACAGTTGAAAAGGGGGATTCACCTTTGAAAAACAGACGTTTGTTTCTTCAGATGTCCCTATACTTTTGTTGCCCAAAAACTCTCGGGAATTTAAAAATATAGTCTTAACGTATGTATATTTAAAAATTCCAAAAATCAGATTTTGAATAAGCGCATTATTGAAGAAAAAAGGGGGCGAGCTTGTTTGGAGAATAAGCACTCTGTAAATAGTCATATTAATCCCATTAACGTTTTATAAAATTTTTATTTTTTCAACGTGTTTGTTTGATGAAAATAAAAATGTTTGTTTTGAAAATACTACCTATTTATTTGGTTTATTGGGTCTGGGTGTATAGAAACCTATCTATAGTGACCTAAATGGGGACCAACTGTTTTTGTAAAATGAACCTTGCGAACCAGTGTTTTCGTGCAAACAATGACGTTATAAATGGGTTCTGCTATATTATTACAGCGTTAGAGCTGATACCCATCAATAAGGACTTAATTTTTTTCTTTAATTAGGAGTTAGGACCTAGGTAGGTATTGTATATTTGCCTAAAAATTGTTGTGAATTCCTCTCATGTCTGTATATAGATAATAATATTGCAAAGTACATACACACACAACGTGTTACAGTGGCATAATTAGGAATTTGTC